GCTTTTGTAGAGTTGCGCTTGCACCTCACATGTGGCAAAGCACACCTAAAGAAAAAGGATGTGGACAATAACTTAAAACACCTGTCAAAATTACAGAGAGCATATGCTTGAATGAATGTTATCGAGAAAAAAAAGAAACCTTAATTAGGCTGCAGAATATTACTTGTAAGTATGCAAAATGAAACCAGCACCAAATGCCTTTACCACGTTATGTTAGCCCTGGACCAAAACCACATTCAGAAGCTCCCATTCGAGAGGACTCACAGGCAAATCCCAAAGCTAAGTTCAGTTAAACTTAAAAAGTTTTTGCAGAAGATAATGCAATGAACACACGCCCGGAGCCAGCAATCGCTTGCTGTTCACCTGGAAGGCGGGGGTGAAGAAGCTCGCCCGCCCTACTTCGGGAGGAGGAGGAGGAGGGAAGCGGGCTCAGCTCTCTTCCTCGCTCTGGCAGGTGCCCGTCAGTGTCCACCCGGGCCCCCGAGGAAACGCGAGCGGCCTCTCGGGACGGGGAGTGCGGGGCAGCCGCCGCCGAACGCCGCTCCTTACCTTTGCCTAGCGGCGATGTCCTCCCGGTTGCGGGTCGAGCGGGACTGCGGGGGCGGTATCCCGCGGGAAGGCTGCCGGGGAGCTGCTCCGAGCCTCCCGTCCACACGTCCGCGTCCTCCTTCCCTCGCTGCTCTTCTCCCTCCCCGTCCCGCATCTGCCTCCGGCCGCGAGGGCCGCCGGCACCCCCTGCGCGGCCGCCGCGGGCGGGGAGCGGAGGGACCGGGGCTGTTCCGTGCGCCGAGGCCGCCGCCGCCGGCGGTCCCTGGCGTCCAGCTGCAGGCGGCGCTGCCGCCGCCTCCCACAAAGGGCAAATTCATCTTCCACGTCCCGAGAGCGGCGGCGGAAGGGCTCCGTGCCGAGTGGGTCCCACGGCTACCGGGCGGCTGCGGGGGGAGGATCTCTCTCGGTTAAAAAAAAAAAAAAAAAAAAAAAAAAAGCCTCTTGTGTTCTGGAAAATGTCGAATTATATCGTGCCAGGACGACAACTTATGCCAAGATCACCTTAAATTATTAGAAAGCGACAGTGTTCTGCTTTTCCTAGTCTTCGGTTCTTCGGTGGGGCTTTTGAAACAGAGGTTGTTGCTACCTACACGCAACGCGTGTGGAATTCACAGGCGTGTGGAATTCATCAAGCTTTGTAGCCCAGCTGGATGATGTTCTAAGTACAAACTCTCCCTAGTAGAAGGTAGCGATACCCCGGCAATGTTTTCCATTTACAATGGGTTTAAAAATGTGTAATTGTACATGACAGACTGTTCCAAAACCTATAGACCTGTCAAGCAGAAATTCACAGACTCGAACCTTTAAGGCGTAAATGAATTGACAGTGTTTCTTTTTCTAAAGTGTGAGTTACATAACGTTTGCATAGCTCACTGGCACATACACGCACTATTCATTGCAAAGCTCTCCCAAGGTAGCGGGAGGCCAGGAGTGAACATTCACCACAGGTTAGATTCTGTCCTTGCCGTACTTCGCTACAGAAACAATCCTGCGAACAGTTCTCCGTAGAGACAAGCATGTGAAACCCCGAGGGGAGAGCGCTTTTACCATCCCGCTCCTCGGTGTCAGCAGAGGGATGCAGGAGCGTTTTACAGGGCTGTTGCCTGCGGGAGCTACAGTCATCTGTGTAGAGTTCCCAGGCTCTTCCTGGAGATCTAAATACTGGATCTAGCTAGCACTAGATCTAAGCATTTCATAAAATGCGTAACAGACATGAGTGCTTTGACTGAACATACAGTTGTAGGTGTTACCACTCAAAGAAAGCTGTAATTCTCAAACCATGCAGAGTAAGATTTGACTTCATGGTAAGTAGAAGGTTAACAGAAATCCCAAGGTGGAGCTCAGTCTGACAACACAACAGCGTTGTCATTCACACACAGATGGAAAACGTAACTTTATATACTGTTTTGATTCGTTATCTATCTCTGATGGTTTTTATTACTTTACAATTTTGTTGAATTTTGCATATACTTATACTGAATCATGGCACATATAGGGATTTCCAAAACATAGTGAAACTGTTTAGATTTATTCATATCAATTACACATTTCATGTTTGAGAGTATTTGTACTTATAGGCATAACTTTTTAAGCTTCTTAGGGGTAAGACAGAGATGACAAGTGTGGATGATGCAATAGCCTGCTAATGCTGAAACACTTAGATGGGATATGAAAAGGGGAATGAATGCAGGATTTCAGAAGTCAGCAGGACCCTCTTAGGAAACATTTCACTAATCAGTTGCTCTTATCAGTCAACAAATGTAAAATATCTTGCACAAAGATGCAGTGGAACACTTGGAGATACTCAGCTTATGTTATTCATCACACCATAACTTAACTGCATACTGCTCAGTTTTCAAGTTTCTCTTGTCTTGGAAATTGTATTAATTAGCTCGTTTATCAGTTCATATTTAGATTCCTGCTTTCAGTAGCAATTAAATAACCCTTAGATTCAAAAGCCACATTCTGCTTCTAGTGTTAATAAAGATGTACATGGCATTTACACAGGACTTTTCTCAGTATTTCATAGACTAGGCAGTTTGACATTTCTAGGAAACATGTTGTCGCATGACTGTTACAGAGAAACTGGAGTGCCTACGTGCATATTTATAAGACTCATACAAGAACACAAAACAACACTACCTACATTACTTAAAAGTAGCATCCCATCATGTGTTGTTCTGGTATTTTACTCTATGGATGAAATTCCTAATGAGAGGTACTTAGTATCTACTTTCATGAAGGACACCTTCTCTGCAGACCACAGATGACTTTTTCTGTAGTTTTGCCCACAGCAGATCTGCTGTTTTCTGCATTGATGGCGGGACACTGCAGTAACCAGTCACTTTGGAAACAAATGCAAACCTGGGGTACTTTGTATACTCTGGAAAGCCTACACATCTGTTTCCAAAACCTTCTCATAGACTGTAGTAAGCTCTACACCAAGAGCCAATAAACATTGCTTGCTAATACAAGCTGCTTTGAACTAACTGAAAAGAGTTGTTTATATTAGTTAATAGTGGCGGGTAACTGCGTTTAAAACTGCACTGCCTGGTGCACTCCAGTATACAATACAAGCTTGTAATGTATCTTCAAACATGCCAGCTGCTTCTTTTTACAGCACCTTCAAACCGTTTTCAACATTTAATTCTATTGAGCTATGATGTCTAAGAAACATACCCTTTGATATCTAAAAGTGAGCCCTAAGTTCCTCCAGGATAACTATGTTTTATGGAACTGGTGTTTCCAGATGGAGCTAGCTGCCAAAACTATGAGTGTCCTTAACATTAGGATTCTGGCAGTCGAAGAGCAGCCTCTCTGTGATGGAATAAGAAGAGCAGGCTGTAGGAAGCAGCTCTTGCACGAACATTTAAGAACCTCTTAGAATGACTTACCCCTTTGCAATTTGTCCTTCTTCCAGGACCAAGGTTTTTAAGTTGCATTTAGAACCCTTCACTACACTGTCTAATCACTTTAGATAATTTTAACATTTTATACCAATATAATTGTCTCATCCAGGTCTTTCATCTCGCAGGTGAGATTGTATCATTAAGTTAACTTCATCTGACTGGGAGAAGAAAAGGCAGAAATATAGGTGTTGATACAATGAAGCACCCCAAAGCAGTATATTGAGAATGAGCATTCTTACTCATAGTCAAAGTGAGAAGATAAACCAGTTTGAATTTGTTTCCTTGAATTTAATGATTTCCCTTTGAAACATATCTGATTTTTTTTTTCAAATTGGTCCCCTCCTTCTCTCAAATTCTAGCTTTGCTGATTTTTTCCGAAAGTCTTTTTAATCCATATTGTCTCAGTCTTGTCTGGGAGATGCAACAACCAATTATTAAACTGTTGACAGCATACTGAAACTACTCCATAAACTTGTAAATCATAAAGATACTATGAAAGGCAGAGAAGGTTTCAAAAACCAAACTCGGAAGTTAGTTACCACAGCTGTTGAAGTTCTGCCAGAAGAAACCTGTGACAAAATGAAATTTACTTGTATGGAATATACCAGTTTCTAAAATAATGGATTCAGTCTATGTTTGAGGGTCTGTCTGCTACTAATGTGGTATGCCTTCATTAAAAGGATCAACAAAACCATTATCTTCTATTTCTCCTCAAGATGCAGATACTAGTCTAATGTGTAGAATATTAACATAGGTAATACAACTAGGTAAAGCATCTCCATTAGGTAAATACATCCCTCGTTACAAAATGACAGTCTAATTTATCATCACAACCTGAAGCCTTTGGATGTCTTCTGTCATGATTCTGAACTAATTCAAACCTATTCATCTTACGGGAAATAGTGTGTTGTATTCAAACATCTGTGTTCTGCCATTTGTGTAGCCCATGGCTCAATGATATTTTTGTCTCCTTATTGTGTGTTAACAAGAAGCTTCTTTAATTATGTATTGTTGGCAAATAATTTACATTTTCCCTTTTAAAACGACCACCATCTGTGATTGCACCAGCCTTAAAATAGCTTTAAAATAAGGAATCCGCATCTCTCTTGCCTAAATTGGGTGGTGATTAATATATGCTCCCCAGACATTTCTTTTTTACACAGTATATGAATTGTAGTATTTCCTAATACCTCTGGAACTGGTTGCCCAGAGAAGTCGCGGATCCTTGGGAAGTGTTTGAGGCCAGGTTGGATGGGGCTTTGAGCAACCTGGTCTAGTGGAAGGTGGCCCTGCTTACAGGCGGGGGTGTTGGAACTAGATGACTTTTATGGCCCCTTGCGTCCCAAGTCATTCTATGATTCCATGATTCTAAGTATTTTGTAGTATTTGTGTCACACATATTTTCTAGTTTTACTACCAATTCTACAGGACTATGCTTTACACTCTTCTAAGATTAAAAATTCCCAGGAGCGTGACACTCTTTCCACTTCTTCTCTTTTACTACCCCTTTACCTGATCCCTGCCAAAGTAAGAGCCACATACCTAGAGCTCTTCACACCAGCCAAGAACCTGCTGACGGTACAACACAGCTTTGGGACAAATTATCAGCACTGCCTAGTTCGGGCTGCTTTCCTCTGACGTATTGTCCGAGTACTCCTGACTCCTGCTGCAGGCATGTGAGCCCAGCCTGGCCTCCTCTCAGGTTCGAAGATTAGGTCTTAAGTCTTAAACTCGGGGTACAGTAGGAGAGGAACTGGGCCTCGGCTCTCTCGGGGCCTCCCGCGACTCCTACATTTTGCAGGAATAAGGAGGAGAGCTCACCCCTCAGCCCTTGTTTCGGAGCCCGTTTCGCGCCGTTGGCCGCAACCCCTGAGCCCGCCCCGGCCGTTAAAGCCCGGCGGGACTGCCCAGCCCTTCCTTCACCCCGCCCGGGCAGGACCGCAGGGATGCGGTCGGGATCCCATGCGCGGTGGGGAACGGGAGCTTTGCACCAGCCCCCGCGGGGCGGAGCCGCGGCGGAGGGAAAAGGGAGCAAGCGGCCGGGATGTCACGCTCCCGTGAATTGTTAAACTTCGGCGTGCGTAAAGCGTAGTAATGTAGAACGGGTGGGAAAACTAGGAAATATATTTGACACAAATAGTACAAAATACTTAAAATCACGTAATGGTTTGGGTTGGAAGGGACCTTAAACATCACCTAGTTCCAACGCTCCTGCCGCGGGCAGGGACACCTTCCACTAGATCAGGTTGCCCAGAGCCCTATCCAAACTGGCCTGGAGCACTTCCAGGGATGGGGTATCCACAGTTTCTCTGGGCAACCTGTTCCAGAGGTGTTAGGAAATGCTATCCTGCGTACAGAAAGAAAGTCTGGGGAGTGCATATTAATCACAGCCTAATTTAGGCAAGAGAGGTGCAGATTCCTTACTTTAAAGCCTTTCCTAAAGCCGGTGTAATCACAGACGGCGGTCGTTTTGAAAGCCAAAACATAACGTTCCCCCATTCCCCCCGCTTCCCTCAGCGGGGGGGCGGGCCGGGCGCCGCACGCGACCTGACGTCAGCGCGGGCGGGCGCGCCGTCACGCGCGCCCTCCCGAGCCCTCCCCGGCCCTGCCCGCGCCGGCCGGGCCGCGCGCGCTGATTGGCCGCCGCCTTCCCGCTTCCTCCGCGCCGCCCGAGAACCCGCCATTTTGAAAACCTTGTTGATTCCGGGAGGGAGGGAGCGAGCGAGGGAAGGAGAGGGAGAGAGTGCCCGGCGGCCGCGGGGCTGAGCCGCGGCGGGGGTGCGTGTGTGTGTCGCTGCGCCCGGACCCGCCCCGTCCGCCGGGAGCTGCCGCCTCCTGCTGCTGCTGCCGCCGCCGCCGCATCCGCGCCCGAGGAAGGAGCCGGGAGCCGCGGCTCGATCCGAGGTGGGTCCCGCCGCCATGGCCGTAACGGCGCCCGAGAGCGGTCCCGCCTCGCCGCGCCCGGGCCGGGCGGGGACGGGTTGTGACGAGGGGCAGTGGAACGCGGCCGCCGCGCCGCCGGGCTCCCATCCCGCCCTGGGGACACGCCGTGTGTGCGGGGCGTTGGTCGCCGCGGCCACCTCCCGGCCCGGCCCCCGCCCCGGGTGTCTCTTGGGCGCTGCGCTGTCCTGCGGCGGGAGCGGGCGGAGCGGTCCCGATCGGGGAGGCGATGGAGCCTTGTCCGCCGGGCGCTGCCCACAGCCTGCGCTTCTCCCTGGCCTCCAGATTGCAGGTCGGGAAAGGGGGTACAGGCGGCGAGTCCCCGTCTAAAAAGTCCCAGGCGAGGGTGAGGGACCCTCTCCCGGCCAAAAGTATTCCCGAGTTGAGTCTTCCTAAAGGTGGATCCCAGAGCCCTTTTTCTCTGAGCAAGCTGTTCTTATGAACCCAGGTGATAAAAAGCTGGAAAGTCTCTAACTTGCCTATTCCTCCGCTGCTCCCGTTGAAAGGGGAGGGAAAAACGGCTTGTAGTGCTTCCCATGCTTTTACACTCGTGCCTTCAAGTAAAATTCAGACTGTAATGTCGTGAAAATGACTTCTATGTGTTAAATGAAATATTGGTAGTAATACCTTGAATGGGTTTTTTTTCCTCCAGTGATTTAGCAAAGAGCAGGAAACTACTTTTCCCCTTACTATTGGTAATAAATATTAACTTGCACTTTCTGTCACTTGGAGCACTGCTGCTCTCTGCCACCTGCTAGTACTGCAGATAAGCAGTTGATTTAAATGTTATTTATTGAACCTGACCTCTTGCAGATAATATTGGCTTTAACATCGGAAGAAGAAAATGCTTAATCGTGTGATACTTTTCCACATGTGCTTACAGCATCATTTGTGTATTTTGTTCCAGACCTAAACAGTGAAAATTTTTGAAAGCTGGAGTTTTTCTAAAATGAATCATATGATTATCTTCCTTTACTAGATAGACATTTTCTCTTAGCATGGCAATGGTACATGCAAAATTAAGATATTTTAAAGTTAACATTTAAGTCACTTAAAATGCTAAGAAAAGACTCTTAAGTATGTTAAGTATGAAGCATTTATTATTTTCTGTTATAGATCTTCAAATTAAAACCAAAAAGCATTTTCATGCCCTAAGATGCAGCAGCTGTCTGAATTATGAATGCAGTGTTAATTCTTTTTCTGTATTGCTTGCAACTTTCTTTTTTTTATCACTTTTCTGTTCCCATTTCGCATCTAAATATGTAACCTGTTTAAGTCACTAGGAAACTTGCATGCACAGTTAATCAGGAATAAGTGCAGGGTGCACTAAAATAGCGATATCTTAAAACACTGCAGTTTTTAATAGATAACAGTATCAACTGCTTTGAGTGGGTGTTTCCGAGTGCTTCACAAACAGCTTGTGTGCGAAAAAAATTATAACCTTTTAGAGTGTTCTTAACTGGACTAGTTGGAGAATAGACGGCACCTTCTCCTGAAAAATTTTCTGTATTGTGTGTATGCAGAACATTCTAGTGATAAGAGAACGTGAACAATCATAGTACATTGTTTCTACTGCACAAGGAGATTATTTTAAAAAGCAAGATTCCTGTATTTTTCATGTATATTGCTATATTGGTGATGGTTTTCCTGACTGCTTTTTACAGAACCATACACCATGTCTTCTGTTGATTCCTCAAAAGAAGATACGATGTCACCAGAAAAAACGGATGAGAAACAACCTGAAACTGAAAACAAAGCTGAGGAAAGTGATGAAGATGAAGAAGAGGAAGAAGAGGAGGAGGAAGAAGAAGAAAAGGGTGCTTGTTTTTCCATTGAATAAGTTCTCCTTTATTAAATGCCAAGCTGCTGAATGCAGTCTCCTGTGATCTTGGCTAATTGTACAATTATTGAGATCCCATGGTACACCTGTCTCATGGGTCATAATAGCTTCCCAGTAGACTGTAGCAGGAAACACTAGAAATGGTGATGCTGATTTATCTCAAGAAAGATTGAAGGAATTGCCAGCATCCTGGGTTTCTACACTAGGGTTGTTTTGTTGTTCTATAAATTTTTCAATCATTATAGGAGGTAGTATCCTTTATCAAATTATTTTTTGCCAGTAACACTCTGAAGTGATCCATGTTTGCAAAAGAGAAGCTTATGAATGTGCAGTACTTTTGGAAACAATACAGATGTCTTTGCTTAACTACAGTTATTAATTTTCTGGGTACCCAAATGTCATTATATTGGAGAGGCAGAAATTTCATTAGACCAATTTTATCAGTAAAAATTGTGGCAATATGAGAAGATGAGCAAAGCAGGTATTGTGTTGTGGTACGTAATTGAAGAGGGTAGTCAAGGAGTACAAAACATGATAAAGGAACTACTGTGCAAAAATGTTAATTTCTATTGTGAAGTCTCCAGGCATCTGTTTTGCAAATGAAAGCATTCATGGAAATAGAACTGCAGTATGGCACGGTGAAAACCAAGTCACTGATGGTCTTGGATTCTTGAAAGAGAACAAGTTGGTCTCTAGGAAAGGTAGTGGAAAGAAAACAGATTATGGCTGTTTGGAAAATAATAGAGTAATCAGAATTAGATTTTTAGTAACAATTTTTCTTTTGTACACACAAGTATGTTTTGCTTTGTTTTTGGCAGACATATACCAGTTTTGATTGTGTTCATACAGGTTTGAAGCTGCTTTCAGATGTTAAAGCCAGGGCAACCCATCTGTTTAGTGCTAAGGATAGTTTGATTTGAGGTGAAGTATTTTAGGATGAAATGTTTAGGCAAAGCTTTAGGTGTTTCTCCTAAAGTGGTATCATTGAAGTAATGATGTGCAATGTATACTAAACATATTCATTAGTAAGCAGTACCAGAATTATTGGGAATAATATTCTTGTAGTATTTGTGATACTCATATTGTGCCATGAAGTGCTTCACAGCGTAGACATGCACTTGTGCTTCTGCCTCTCCTACTGATGTCTGTGGTTCTTCCAGTCCAGTAGTGGGAAAAGAATTTGTCTGCAGGCATCCTGGACTCTCCTTTTGCCCATCTGGTGGCATTATTCTTCTCAGGAGTGCTACATGTGGAGCTGTGCACCGTCCAAGAAGGAGACTATGCAAACAGTGTCCCTTCTGTACCTCAAAAAGGCCATGAAGGGAGAGAACGATGGGTTTCTGAAAATGCTGTATCCTCCATTTGGGTGGATGTGAGGGAAATTCACCCCCACTTCCAATGGGGTGAATTTCCTTTTAGGAAATACCTAGTCTGTGGAGAATTGGCTAGCAGAACAAGGGTATATGGATATAGCTAAAGCTATGGACAAGCTGTTAGAGTATAGAACACGGCTTGCCTAGGCCGTGAGAAAATCTGAGATAGCAAAGCTACAGTGTCTTTGTGCCTGCTAGTTGGCTGGTAAACAGGTCGTTGTGATTAGCAAAACAAAAGCAACTGAGAGCCACCTGTGTCAACATAAGAAAGGAGTAAGAGGCGGAATCAACATTTAAGCCAGAGCCAATAATGAGCTTAGCTTTTGCAATATGTATGAGCTAATTATAAAGCATATATTAAGCTGTTAGCAGTGATCAATAAACGAAGCTTGTTGATTCTCATATTGAGGGTCTCTTTCTTCCCTCGTCGTGACACTAGTCTTGTCTTACACATACCTTAGGTTGGATACAGGATTGTGGTTAAGAACTAGAGACTTCCTGTTATGTATATGTGGCTCCATAGAATCACGTTGATTTATTAGCCAAGGTCTGAAAGCGTCAGAGCACTTGCTTATATCCTCATCCCTTTTTGGTTTGTCATTTCAAAGATTGAGTGTCGTGTTGCCTGTCTCTGCAGTCAAATCTGCTCATGCAATGAGAAATAGTGTTTTAAGGAAGCTGTCTTTTGCAGAGAAGAGTCTCA